TAGAAGAAACATGTATGTCAAAAAAGAGTGAGCTCAGATCAACAAACTAATGTTTAACTTAAAGCTCCCAGAAAAACAAGAGCAAGTCAAGCCAATGCTCATAGAAGGGAGGAAATTAAAACAATCAGAGCAGAAGGCAATGCACTGGAGACTAAGAAAACACCACAAAAAAAATCAGTGAGTCCAAGAATTGGTTCTTGACAGATTAAAGAAAATTGAAAAACCCTTTGATAACCTTGTCCAAAAAAAAGAACAAACTCAAGTCCATGCAATGAGGATTGAAAAGGATGAAATCATAAGAGATTTTGCAGAAATCTAGAAGATCATAAAGACTCATTTAATGAGAACCCATACTCCAATAATATGGAAACACAGAAGAAATGGACAGATTCCTAGATACATATTTGAAAAATAAATTCATACACAAATCAAAGGATGTTATACAATATTTAATGTGACAGGAACTTGGTAAAAAGGAGGGATAGCTATTTTACTTGCAGACAAAGTAGACTTCAAGCCAAGATGGATTGATACACAGAACAGAATAATTCAAAAGGAAGAAATCACAATCATAGATATATATATGCACCAAAGGCCAATGCACCTAATTACATAAAACAAATATTGACACATAAAATTAAAGAAGTACCAGTTCAGCATTGTCACAGATAAATAGACCAACAAGATTAAAAAATGAAATACTATAATTGAACCAAATTTTTGAACAAGTGGACTTAGTACATGTCTACAGAGTGATCCACCCAACAACACCAGAGCACACATTCTTCTCAGCTGTGCATGGGATTTTCCCCTAAATGGGCCACATATTAACTTATAGAACATGCTTATGTAAATTTAAAGGAACTGAAGTTTCCCCATAGGTATTATCAGACTGTAGTACACTGAAATTGCAAATCAATGTAAAAGGAAACCATGAGAACTTCATAAACATATTGAAATTAAATAGTACTCTCTTGATCAGCTCAGGAGCCACAGATGAAATTTATGAAAAAAATAAATTTTGTACAATTAAATGATGATGCCAGTACAACAAACTAGAAATTATGGGACACAATGAAAACAGAACTTCAAGGGAAATTTATAGCTGTGAATTCTCATATCAGAAAAACACATCAAGCTCAAATCAACAACCTAACCTTGAGCCTCAAGCTTCCAGAAAAGCAAGAGCAAGTCAGTTACAAAGCTGCAGAAGAGAGGAAATTAATTCAGAGCTCACGGTAATGCAATGGAGACTAAGGAAACAATACAAAGAGCCAATGAATTCCAGAGTTGGTTGTTTGAAACAGTCAATAAAATTGACCAACCCTTAGACAACCTTATCAAAAAAGGAGAGAAAATATACAAATCCATGCAACTAGCATTGAAAAGGATTAAATCACAACAGATCCTGCAAAACCTAGAAGTTCATTCAATGTCTACTTCAAGCACCTGTACTCAAACAAGATGGAAAACACAGAAGAAATGGATAGATTCCTACATACATAGGAATTATCAAAACTGAATCAAGAAAAAATAAAATCTCAAATAACCCAATGTCAGTCAATGAAATTGAAGATGTAATAGAAAACCTACCAACAAATAAAAGCCCAATCTCTAAGAGATTCACTGCTGAATTCTATAAGAAATTAAGAGAACATTTAATACCCCTATGCCCTAAAGTCTTACTGAAACTGAAAGGGAAGCATACCCACAAATTCATTCAGGGAAGAAAATCTTCCTAAAAAATATAGATGAAAAGACATCAATAAGATTCTGTTAAATAGAATGCAACAGATTATCAAAAGATTACACACCATGACAATGCAGGATTCCTCCCAGGGATGCAGCAATGATTCAACATATGTAAACCAATAAATGTAATTCACCATATTCACAGAGCCAAGGACAAAAGCATATGATCATCTCAACAGAGTCAGAAAAAGTATTTGATGAATTTTGACACCCATTCATGATAAATACATAAATACATAAAAATGGTATTAATCTCAATCTGATAAAAGTCATCTATGATCTTCAGTGAAGTTTAAAGAAAAGTATTATATGTGAAATCCACATAATGCTAAATGGACAAATACTGAAAGCTTTCACTCTAAAATCAGGAATAAGACAAAGATGTCCACTGACACCATTCTCATTCAGTATAGTTCTGGAAACATTAGCAGAGCAATTAGGTAAGACAAAGAAATAAAAGCAATAAATAGGAAAGGAAGACATTAAATTATTATTATATGTGAGTGACAGGATATTCTACACAGATGACCACAAAATCTCAACCAAAAATGTTTAGATTTAATAATCAAAATCAGTCGTATAACTGGATATAAAGTCAACACTCCAAAATCAACAGCCTGCCTATACACTCCTAAAAACTCACTGAGAGACAAGTTAAAGAAAAATACCTTTCACAATACCATGCAGAAAAATGAGATACATAGGAATCAATCTAATGAGAAAGGTAAAAGACCTCTACATTGACAACTATAGTACTCTGAAAAATAAGATTGAAGAGGATATCAGAGAATGGAAAAATATGCCATGCTCTTGGGTAGGAAGAACTAATATAGTGAAAATGATCATACTTCCAAAATTGTTACACAGATTTAATGAAATTCTGATTAAGATTTCAACACCATATCTCATGGAATTAGAGAAAATAGTCCTAAAATTTCTTTGGAACCAGAAGAGACCTAGAATAGCAAAACCCATTTCAGGGCAATAAAGGCAAAGTAAGGGGCATCACCATCTCTTACTTGAAACTCTACTACAAAGCTAATGTGATGAAAACAGCATGATACTGTCAAAAAACAATAACAACCACAACTACAAAAACCAGACCTGAAGATTAATGGAACAGATTTGAAGATGAAGAACAACTCCAGACATACTCACTCAGCTATGCTTGAAACAGGAGCCAAGCACCTTCATTTGACAAAAGATAGCCTCTTTCAAAATGGTGCTGGCTTTCTACAAAATGAAGATTCAAAGAGACACATATCTTTCATGCATTAACCTAAAATCAACATGGATCAACATATTAAAACATAAACAGTAAATCTGCAGGAAGAAACAATAAATAGAACACCGGAACACATTGATGTAAGTAAAGATTTTAAGATCAAAACTCCAATCAAGTGGAACTATCACAAAAAATCAACAACTGAGATCTCATTTTATTAAAAGACTTTCACAGTAAATGAAACCACTAATAGATTGAAGAGACAACCCACAGAACAGGAAAAGTGTTTGCTTGGTGTTCCTCAGACAAAAGGCTAATATCTAGAATATGTAAAGAACTGAAAACAATCAGATACCAGCCCCCGCCCCATTTTAAGGCCAAATGTAAAAATGGCCTTGTGTAATGAATAGACACTTCTCAGATACAGTAAAAATGACAAATAAATGTATGAAAACATGTTCGACCCCACTGATCAGTCAAGACATGCACATTAAAAGAATGCTGAGATTCCATCAAAATATTTCTGGAAGTTAATGGCAATGCCACAACTCCCTCTGAACCTCTGGAGCACTATGAAAGTAGTCCTAAGAGGGAAGTTGGTTGAAATTAATCGTTACTTTAAGAAAACTACATGGACTCAAATAAAAGGCATCATAAGAAACTTTAAGATATTCAAGAAATAGCACCATCCTGGGCCCAAACCAACACTAAGAAGGGAAATCACAAGGTTTAGACTGAAAATCAACAAAACTGAATCTAAAAACAATACAAAGAATCAACAAACAGAAAAGCTGTTTCTTCAGAAGAATAAACAAAATAAACTCTTAGCCAAACTTATCATGAGAAAGAGAGTAAAAACTCACATCAATGTAATTAGAAGGGAAATCTCAATCCACACTATGGAAATTCAGAAGATAGTAGCTATAATGAAAAATTGCATTCCAATAAAGTGGAAAAATGGGAAGAAATAGATGCTTTCCTACTACAAGCTGCCAAAGCTAACCCAAGAAGATACAAAACTATTTATCCTCATAACCAGCAAACAATTCAGAAAGTATTGGAGTCTATCAACTACAAACTGCCCAGCCCCTGGTGGACTGACTTCTGAATTCTACACGACATTAAGGATGTTACATCACCTATACTACCAAAGCCTTCAGAAGGGTAAGTCATATAGGGCTGCAGCCTCTGGACTCAGGCTGTGTTTCCCAATTGCTGCACCATGGTCAGAAACAAACCCTCAGTGTGCTGTCAGCACTCCTCACAGCCTGTCTCCCCTTTGGCCACGTACCACCCTCCATGAATTTGGTGACTCTGGTGGTCACTTCAGGGCCCCACTTGGGGCTCTGCCCTATCCTTCTACTGCCTCAAACCAGACCTCCAAGAACCCCATATCCAAGGACCTCAGTCCCTGCTGTTGCTGGGGTGGAGAAGAGGCTAGAGCACACTAGATCTAGACAAAGGGAGAAAGGGGTAGAATGTGGTCAGTCCCAAACCCCTGGTCACTGTCATCACCTGTACACTGATCTTCATACCTGGTCCCCTAACAACATGTGTTTTCCCTCTTGCTATTTTCTCTAGTGCAGGCACAAATTTCCAATTGCAAGCAGTTTGGGGCCATGGGAACAAGAACAGAGGTGAATTCGGTTCTCTCACTTCTTAACTTAGACAGTGACAACATGACAATTACAGCAGGGAGCAGCAGGGAGCTGAACACTGGCAGTGTCTCTGAGTGACCATAGGAGAACAGGTCTGTACTGGTTTTCTCCCAAGTTTCTACTCTCCAGAGATTTTAAAATTCCTTGATAAATTCTCTACTTCACATTCTCGTGTGTGTGTGTGTGTGTGTGTGTGTGTGTGTGTGTGTGTGTGTGTAACTTTTGATGGAGCTCAAGGCCTTCTTCACTTGTGACAGGTGTGGGTAGTACTACTAGTGATTGAGTCCAGGGATTACAGAGCTACATGCCAAGCCTCATTTACTTAATATTGTATTTCTATTTTGAGATTGTTTTGTTTTTTCTTTCAGGCTGTCTTCGCACTTATGATTGTCCTGTCCCAAACTCTACAGTGTCTGGGATTCCAGGCATACATCACTGTAAGCTTGCCTTTGTTTTTTCTTTTTTCTTTGCCATACTAATAAGTTATTGTCTCAGCCATTAACTGATTATTAGAACATCTTTCAGGATTGTGAGTGGCATTTCAGCCAATGACGTGCATACTAGCATCTTGCAAAAACTATGCAAGAAGATGTGAATATGGGGATTTATTATTTTCATGAGCATCACTGATTTTCCATTCCACAGTTGAGAGTAGTTCCACTAAATAAATAGCATTAGTGCTCTTGTAGAAGAAGAAAAATATTTAAAATATAAGTCATCCTGGCACAGCCACTGTGTGTGATTTTTACACATCTGCAGAAGTGAGTTTTAGGGGACCAGGCTGCTGGGAGTTCCACTGGCAGTAGCGGGTGATAGGGGGTGATGATTCAGGTGAGAAAAGTGTCAGGTACTGGTTTAGAATTCTGCATTTGGGAACTATGGGTGTGGTAGCTCAGTTGCGGAGTGTTTGACAAGGTTGTGTGAAGCCTTGGGTTTGATCCCCAGCACTCTCAAAAACAGAGAAAGAGAGAGAAGGAGAGAAGACATGAAGGAACATTTTATGTACACTTGTGCCATTCAAATGAATTTTTTTGTGTGTGTGAATTCAGTAGGGCCTAGTGGAAACATTCTGCAAATGGCAGTCGCTATTTGATTCTCCTCAGTCAGGGAAGCCACACCAGTGAGAACGGCTCCTCATTTTCAGGCTTCTGAAAGCCCCTCAGTGTGTGAAAGGAGAACTCTGGGCACCAGGATTAGGAGAAGAATCCTGGAGTTCTCTTTTCCACTAGCTTATGGGTGATATCAGAAAAATCACTTCTTGGGCCTCAGTGTCTTTTGAAATTTATTTTTAGCTGTACTACTTGAGTCTTAGTGGCTACTTAGGAACTCTGATTTTAAAATGATGATGAGGGCAGGGTGAATGTGGCATTGAGTGACTTTGAGGAACAGAGTGCAGTACTCTGAGGCTGTCCCAGGTCCCAGCCTGGAGAGTCATGTGCTGAGCTACAGACAGAGCAAGGTTATGGGGGCTCAGAAAAGAGCCTTTCAACACTTGCTTTGAGCTTTGGACATCTGCAATGTGAGCCTGTGGCCTGGAGCCTGGGGGAGCCACATCCTCACTCCCACTGGCCCCAGCATGTGTGACTGTCTACTGACTGCAGCAGCCCTGTCCTATGTGCTCTGTTCCATTGTGACTATGGTGCTTAGCTGTCTCACATGTCCCCCTAAACCTGCCTCCTTCTGTGACAGGCTTGAAGATCACTCTGCTCCTGCACTTCCTTCTGCTGATGACACTGTGTCATGTGATGGGGTCCCTTCCCCAGGAGCTGCTCTCACTGGTGGCATCACCTCAGGTTTGTGCTTTTTCCTTTTGCCTGCTGTCTTCTTTCATCCCCCCCCCCCCATCCTCCTTCCCAAAGAACTATGCCCTCCACAGTTTCCTTTCCTCTCTCTGGGCAGCTTGCTGCCTAGAACCATGTGTGTTCTCTCTGGGGACTGAGATGAGGAGGCCACAATGAGGCTTGTCATTGTGGTGTGGGAAGATGGCTGACCTTACCTGGGTGATTCTTACAGTAGGTCAAATCACTGCCTCATAATTGTCTGTTTGGATGAACCAAATCATGCTGCCAGTGACTCCAATCCCACTGATAGAAGCAAGTGAATGTTTCCTACTGGGTCCGCAGTCATTAGGCCGAAGAGTCAGTGCAGGTCACTGCCCATGTGCCTGTGTCCTGTCCCTGCATTTATGGGCTTACTCAGGAAGCAGCAAGTCATCCCTAGACTCATGCCAGGCTCTTCCACAGATGGCGCTCAAGATCCAGGAGGCCCAGTGTCTGCAGCAACAGTGACACCAGCTTCTGTCCCACTTGTGGCAGCATGCAGAGGTCTGGTGTCAGCTGACCTCTCAGAAAGAAACACAGCTCAAGTTCTGTTTCATACAACAGCTCATGGTGCAGCTGCTGTGTGAGGAGAATCAGGCAAGAGGAGACCCAGGTAATGGAGCTTTCCAGGTTCCTGCATGGAGGACTCGGCTACCTCCATGCCTTCTCCATGTTCTCATCCTACCCACCACAGCATCTGGAAGCCACCAAGCAGCAGAAGCAGCAGTCATTCCCGCTGAGCCTCCTCGTTCTGCGTTGGCAAGGTGAGTGGAGGTGCCTCAGGGAAGAATGGAGCCTCAGGAGGACTTTAGGTGACAGAGGCCTTTATAGTGCTGGGGTGGTCATTGTCTCCCAATAGGACACATCAGCGTCAGGGTGGAGAGTGTCTGGTACTTCTCTTGTGGGGTTGACCAGAGATCATTCCGGCAGCTCCCAATAGAAGATGAAGGGGACAAAGAGGACAGGCATGTTCAACATGGACCAGTGTGACCATTCCTGGGACAGACTAGATGCCAGGGTGAGCTGCACTGGTCTTTGTCTTTTGTCTGTGCTACCTTCCCTGCTTCCCTTTATGGTCCCTTTGGACACCCCAATACCTTGGCCTTCCCCACCCTCTGATTTCCCTGGACCCCCATGCCTTCCCTGGGAGGCAGCAGACACCATCCCCTTTGGAGCAACAGATGCTAGCAACAGACAGGGAGCTTCTTTGTGCCCTTTGATCAGCTTGTCTTGAGCAGTCCTCCCACAAAATCATACTCTACTTCCTTCAGGCAACATTATTAATGAAGATTTCACCAGTGCCCAGGAAGCACTCACTTGACAGCATCAGCAGCTGAGGGAACAGAAGCAGCCATGCCAGTGCCTGGCTTGCCTGGCAACCCTGACCCAGGGTGAGCCTGAGGAGGTGCTGGCTCCAACAGAGAGAATGACTGCCTGTCTGGGCAAAGCCACCAGGCTCGAAAGCAGGCCATGGCAAAGCTGACAATGAGTGCGTCTGCCCTGCTGGGCTGGGTAGAGAAGGTGGGAGGGGGGCCATCTGGCTCCATTTGGCAGTCATGCAGAAGATGGAGCTCAAGGAGAGCTGGAGGAACTGGAACATTGTTGCCTACATCTCTCTGGGACCACATGTGCCTTCAGTGGGCTGGGCCAGGGTCCCCAGCAGCAGAAGCTGTGAAGTGTGGGGATCAGGGAGCCCTGCGATTCCAGCCCACTGTCCCCCTCCCCACAGCAGAAGACATTGTAAAAAGTGTCTGCTCTCTTGCAGCAGGGCTGAGGGGCATCTTCCATGCTTGTTGCCTGGATGCTGCTCTGAGATCACAAGGACACTGCCGTGTGTGCTCCAAGGGCATCTTACCACAATGGGCCACAGACTGCAGCACAATCTAATGGGGAGGGAATGTGGGGTACAGTCCCTGAGGTTGCTGACCTTTCCTGTCAGATCCTGCAGATGTCCTTCTCTAGTCTCATGCCCATGGGCTGGGGTTGGTGGTCCTGTCCCCTAGTGGTAAGAAGTATTGGTACCATTTTTGTGAGTATTTTATGGGTAGTTGCATGCATTTTATGTTACAGCAGAGCACATCTTTGTTCTCTAAATTAGGGGATGACTACAGAGTCCAGGATGAAAGCTGGTGTCCTAGAGGGGCTTAAGGAGACCCTGAATGGACTCCATAAATTCCATCACAAGGATTGGCGACAAATCAAGAACAGAGAGATTTGAGAGACAATTCTCCTTCACCCAAGATGTTTGTGAACATCTGCATATTTCCAATCACATGTCAACATCTCCCTTTCTATAAAGCTTTTGAACCTCCCTATAAGCAATATTGTTCTGTCAGGTAATTTGCAGCTACAAACCTAGGTAGCGGCATTAAAAAATGTTAGCTTGCATAGTTTGATTTTACATTGAAGAAATGTAGATCATTGGATCATTCAAGGCTCGCCAGGGCTTGACCTCACTTGGGATTTTTTTGTTGTTCTTCTTCTTTTTTTAGTACTTTCCTTTTTATGACAAGATAATGTTTGTGTGCATACCGTAGTCCAAATGCCAGAAAACTATACCCAGGGTCAAAGTCTCCCTGATTCCCATTTTCTCAGGCCCATAGTTGTTGCTTTTACTTTCATATTTTACTATTATTAGCTCTCAATAGTTTTCCTATAGTTTTACATTCAATTTATCAATGTGAACAACTGTTTTGCTGACTTTCATAAAAGTTTTATTTCTCATCGCACATTATCCTTTTCCTCTTCCCACTTTGTGAAATGTGCTCTGTGTTAATTTAAATTTAGCAATATTCATAAAAGCATAGGGGAGACTGATTAGACAACAGTATGGGACTATGGAAGAGAAGAAAATAAAAGGCAGGTTAATTGTTGGGTTAGATATCATCAAAATATGTGACATGCATGTATGAAAGTAACACATTCAAACCCAATATTTTGTAGAAGTGTATGTAACTAATAAAAACTTTATGAAATACCTATCTCTGCTGAATTTCCTTATTATTTCTTATGCTCCAGTGAATAGCAGTATGTTTGTGATAACTACTTGTTATTTTTGAGAAACATTTCAGTTAGAAGCCCTGCCCCTGGGTGATTCCTACAGGAGGCTGACTCGCCCCTCCGATATTCCTTTCTAAACAGCACTCTGACTCTGCCAGTGGGCCCAGGCTCATGACTGTAAGCAAGTGAGTATCTCCTACTGGGGCATCAGTAGGAGTGATCTGGGCAGGATATTACCCGTGATAGTCTTCTCCACCCATCTATAATTGTAATTTCATAGCAAGACATTTTAAAAATCAATCAGCAGCCTATTACTGTGTTGAGACAAGATGTGCTCACCCTGCCTGTCACATAATTAGATTGCTGAACCTAGTCAGTCTTGACGATCTATATACAGCTGCTTTTCATAGATAGCCTGTGTCACATCAGCTTGTCCCACTAACAGCTGCAAGGACTATATTTTATCACCTAAAAATATAGCCTGTTTCTCTAATGTGTTTCACAGACTTTCTTCCCGGGACAAAATAACCCAGTCAAAGACACACTTAACTTTGTGCACTCTGCTCACACCTCCTTTCCCAGAATGTCCCTGCCTCATAACAATTTCCTTTAGTTAGTGCTGCCTGACAATGTATGACTTAGTGCATGTAACTAGTTACATGATAATCTCCTATCAGCTTTTGTACTGCCTGCTTACAAAATGTATATGAATTCCTGCTTGACTCTCAGTCAGGGCTGGTGACTGGGAACTGATGCCTACCAGCCTACTAGCATAATAAATCATTGTCTTCCAAACTCCGTGGTGCAAAGTGCCTTCATTTCAATTCACTACTGGGTTTCTGCAAAACATCCACACACACGCTTACCTTAGTAACATTTATGGTTGCTGAGTCAAAATATCCAACAGCCACAAGTTGAAAGCTCATAGTTTGCAGAGCTTTTGGTCCATAATCAGCTGGCTCCAAGGCACAGTGCAATGACAGAAGGGGCATCACAGAGGAGAACAATCCATGGCATGGAAGCAAGCAGTAAGCAGCAAGCAAACAGCAGCAGCAATCCCCTTTTATATCCCAACCAGGGTACAAACAACTGGATTGAATCTTCTCATCTCCCACACCCAAAATTATGATAAACTAATTAGGGCACTAATTCAGTGCCACACACTTAATCCCAGAATCGTACATCCTAGGTCAGTGATGGCAAATCTTTTAGAGATGCTTGCCCAAAGTGTAACCCAAAACCCATTCATTCATTTATTTTAAAGTTCCCACTCTGCAATTAAACCTGAACACTGAGGTTTTAGTTTAGAAAAAAACAATTCATACATTAACATCTTTCATTGTAAAAGAAAAACAACATATATGAGTTAGATTTGCTAACATGGGCCTAGATCCAGCCTCCTCTGAAATCCTCCACATATGACTGCATGAGATTTTTAGAAGCCATCTAGATTCAAGTCCTAACAACCATGACCCCATGTCTCTCAGGTTCAGTGATGGTTATGTTTAGGTTTAGGTTTAGGTTAATAGAGGTAGGGATTGATCTAGGGAAAAGGATAGGGCTATTCCAGCACCATGTTTAGGATAAGATCAGGTTCACTAGGGTTTGTGATAGAATTAGTTTTATGGTTATATGTAATTTTCAGGAGTAACATTAAAATAGGGCTAGGGATATGGGAAGAACAAGGGTGAAGGATAGGGCAAGGAATAGGCCTGATTTTTCAGAAGTTTTAGGGTTAAAGACAGGGATCCACCAGCTGAGGGTTAGTGCTAGAGTAGTGTTACGTTTCAGGTTAGGTTCCATATGGGGATTGAGGTTAAGCTTAAGGTTCCTGTCAGGACTAGGATTAAGATTAGGACTAGGACTAGTTTTAGCCATGGTTAGGTTTAAGGTTAATGTTACATTTAGGATTAGGACTAGTGGTAGAGCTAGGGTAGGAACTAGGCCTAAGGTTACCCTTAGGGTTACTATTAGATTTAGGGCCACTGTTACAATTAAGGATAAGTGTATATTTAGGGTTAAATTTACAGGTAACTTTATGGTTACATTTAGGGATATGTCTATAGCTAGGGCTGTGGTTAGGGATAATTGTAAGTTGAAATTAGGTTTAGGGCTATGGTTTTGATAAGTTCAGGAGTAATCCCATCACTCCCCCAATCCTTGGGAGCTCAGCTACAGATCCATGTACCTTCCCTTTGGAGATCGTCCACAGCCTTTCACTTCCACTGTCAGATCTCTGGCCTTTCCCAGGACACTCTTGGTCTAGGCTGATAGAATACAGAGGCCAGGTGTTGACCATCTGATGGAGAGGGCTGGGGACCACACACACAAGTCCATGAAACTGTCTAAGGAGGCTCTCAATCTGGAGGACACATGGCCAGCAGAGGAGGGGCTGAGATAAGTGCCAGCTGAGCCAACCCTGGGCTCAGAGAGCCAAAGATACTTCTCTGTGTCCCTGGTCCAACCACTCTGCCTTGCCTCAGCCTCTTCAGATACACGTGCACGCACACACACACACACACACACACACACACACACACCTATTTATATATGCAAATATAGAAATATGAACATGCACGATCATTCTTCCACACAAATGCTCAAACAGGTACATAAAGATACATGCATATACTCAAGCTGTCATTCTGTGGTGGGGAGGGGGGGAGGAGGTCTTGTTCTATTGCCCAGCTTAGTCTGGAACTCAAAATCCTCCTGTTTCTGTCTCGGGAAGTAGCTGAGATTATGGGAATTCACCACCCATTGCCCAGCTTCATGGGCTACTTTGGGGAAAGTGGCATCACCTGGGTCATTATTAGCAATTCACTCCTCCTGTTGCTCAACTTTATACTTCCTGGAATTTGAGGCATCAGATGCAGTCTGAAGCTGGCTCTTCTTTGGGGTTTTGTCACTGCTATGGGTAATTGTGGTTGAAAGGTGGTGGCTGATTTCCAAGCAATTTAGGGAGCTCTTGTTTCAAGATGGGAAGAGCCTGGTGTTGGACAAAGCTGTCTAAGAAAGCCTGTGTTTGTGAAGCTTACATTTTTCTGTAGGTTCTGTGGGATTCTTTCCAGATTATGCAATCTGGACTATTCATTGAGCAACAGATGGAAGGGCTTGAGCACCTGTGGTTTTCTGGTATGATGTTTCTTGAATGCTGTGCTGGAGTCAGGGAGATGGCAGGTTCCTCATGGTAGAGTCAGGCTGGTCCAGGCCTTGTTAGAGGATGTACCTGATTAGTAGAGATATAGATTATCTCAGGGAAGATCACATTGCTCATGCTTGTTACTTTTGGGGAAGGAACCTGAGCTGCTGAGAGCAGGGAACTGTGCATTGAGAAGGACAGGGCTTTAAGAGTTCCCCAGTGGGAACACTTAGAAGAGGTAAGGCTCAAGGGTTTCAGCAGGTGAGGGAAAGGAATTAAGCTGGTCTCAGCCTGGCATTTGGCCTTGCATCTTCTCCAAAGTAAAGGTATACATATGGGATGGAGAAGAGGCCTTTCTCATCTTCAGCTATGTGATATGTCAGCCCAGGGAGGACTCTTTTATCTGCCTGATACAGGGTCTCATCACCTCTTTTGGGCAAAGGTTAGTCCCTGTGTGGGAGGAGAAGATAGGGAAGTTCCACTTCCTGAATTTATGGTTTTATTTTTCCCTTTGGAGAAAGAAAGCCATTTGCCCAAGGAGTTTTGACTTGTTGTCTTTATGAGGCACGATCTCTCTATGCAGTTCTGGCTGACCTTGAGCTCACTTATGTAGTCCAGGCTATCCTTGAACTCACAATGATCCTTCTGCCTCAGTCTGTCGAGTGCTGGGATTACAAGCATGCACCACCATGTGCAGATTCCAAGGAGTTTCAGACCCATTCAACTCTTCTTCCCTTTGAGAGATGCAAGTCTAAGTTAAGGCAGCAAGACTCTAAGCCCTGCTTGGGTGATAATCAAGCTCTGGGAGGGTCAGGGAGAAGATCTGGTGTTTGCTGACAGCAATCAGAGAAAATGAGGTGTGGAGGGAGGTAGGAGGAGCCACAAACCAATTGATTTACTCTAAGTTTTATCAAGTTCTAAAGTGAGAATAAATTGTAGTCACTGTGGTCACTTTGGCAAATAAGGAACAATGAGGTTTGCCTAGAGATGGGGAGGAAGGAGGCAGGGTTTTGGGAGAAGGCAGGATGGGCAGGTTGAGCTTGGGTCACAGGAAGCCTGAGCAGTCAAGCTGATTCAGTTATCGTGTGTAAATACAGGAAATGGAACCAGAATTTTTAAAAAGTTTTCATTTTTTTGTGTGTGGGGCATTAGTGTGGTGACTAATCTCACAGGTCAGTTTGACTCAGCTAAGAGATGGCCAGGTAGCTGGTGAAACAGCTTTTGTGGATGTGCCTGTGCAAGGCCTGCCACGAGAAATTAGTATTTGAATAGGTAGACTGAGAGCCACCTCACCATCATGGGTAGGCACCATCCAGGCTGTTGTTGGCCTGAATCCAACAAAAAGGCAGAGAAAGGGCAAACATACTTCCTCTTTTGGAGCTGCACCCCTGTCATCTTTTGCCTGGGCCAGCAGCAACCCTGGATCTCAGGCTTTCCCACTGGACTGAATAGTACACCAGCTGTCCTGGGCCTCTGGCTTCTCAGCCTGTACTATCAAGGGAGCCGAATCCTCATTATAACTCTCCTTCTGTATATCTACAGATCTCATATTCATTCTGTTTTCTCTGGAAAGTGCTAAGGGAAATAGAAATTATAGCTGGCTATGGTGGTACACTCCTGTTACAGCAGCATTCTGGGAAACAAAGCATGCTGGCAAGTTTGAGCCAAGCCTGGGAATTTTAGTGACTTAGAGGGACTCCATCTCAAAATT